CAGCTTTACATTCAATCTCTTTACATAGTCTTTGTACAAAGAATGTCGTTTATAGAGAAATTTTGGACTTAGTACATAAGGTATAAAGAAATACTACAATTTAATTGTAAAGTCTTAAGAGGTTTATATTTATTGAATCTTTTATATTGTCCCATTTTCTACAATTCTTTCTAAGGTTAGTTATGAATTTAATGTATTTATTTATTTTTTATTTACGTCTCTATCAATTTTTTTGTTTGACAATCCTTAATTATGCGTTATTTGAAGTGTTTATTAATTATTTTTACTTGAAGTTCTGTCCTTGCTTGACACGGTGTTTGGGAGAATTTTTAAAAATTTGAGACATTTATATTTCGAAATTTTGGACTGATATATATGTGTATGTGTTTGTGATTCAGTGCAACTGATGCAATTGTTTCCGGTGTTTTTTAATCAAAGGAACTTCCCGCCACCTTCTCTAGCTCCCACTAGCAACATCCCGGCGAATAGAACTTCCCAACGATTGGAATCTCTTCAAGCATGATACTGACATTTGTTAAGTGATCTCCTTTCTCATTTTTTTCCTCATTCACCAGCACTTATTTTTGCCTTACATTTGAACAATGGAAAATGGAAACTCTACAGTTCCATTCTCCGTGACATGTTATGCATCGCTCCTAAACAAATTTTATTGATATTGGAAATTGGAAAATGGATCTTAGTTGTATTGATATACATTGAAAACCAAAAAAAGGAAACTTTTCTAGCCAAAAATAACAGTCTAAAGGAGTCTGGATATCTTCTTCCAAGCCAGGGAAGGTACTCTTTCTTGGTCTGTGGAAATGAATTCTGTATTTCATTTCAATCTTTCTCAATGGTTTATTGATGATGTCTTACATTTTCGATATAGTAGGTTTAATTATATGTAATTTGTGAGTTTTACACTTGAATTATGTTTTGCTTTCAAGATTTAGAAAATGGTCTACCTGATTAGTCTTCTAAGGTATAAGAAATGGGAATTCTCAATTTATTGTGTAGCTTATTTTGGCACCTTGGGTAAGGAGGAATACAATGTACATTGTTAAGAAAAGAAAAAAAGCTAAAATCTTGTCCATTGGTCTCATACATATATCTTGAGTGATAGTCTGCTACAAAAATAAAACAACAAAATAAAAGAGTTTTTCATCATATAAACAAAATTTTCATGTACTATGGGGTGGGCGAATAGAAAGGGGTGACAAGTGCTTTTTTTAATATATTTGAGTAAATTAGCATTTCATATCTCTGCTACAAATACCCCAGTTTTATTGTTTTAAGTTCATCTGCATAGTGAAGTTTTGTGATTTAGATGTTTATTGGTATGACAAAAGAATAGCAATGCATTTATACGTAGATCTTTTTATCTTGTTTTTAAAGAAGAATGTTGAATAGTGTATTTGTAATGTAAAGATTTGGGAAATTGAAGGTCATTGTTGTCTTCAAGTAGTTTGTCTTGAAGTTGGACTAAATAGGCCTTGCAGGATGGACAGGATATGCTGAAAGATTGGACAGAACAAGCACTGCAGGTTGGACGCGACATTTGGAAAGTGAAAGTCATTGCTGTGTTGAACCCAAGTCAGCTGAACATGTTTGGTGTTTTTGCTAATTGTGTGCATACATTAGCCAGTTATTGCCAACTTCAACTTCATGGAATTCTGCTGTTCAAGCAGGCAGCTGGACTCGTTTAACTATGAATCAGCTGAACTTGTGTTACTCATTTACGAAAATTTGTTGTTTTCTAATGGAAGCAATTTCTCGTTACGTTAACAAAGACAATAAAAGGCCTGTTATGTATTGCAAGAAAAGTCTTGAAAGCCATCCTTGGAGTCATTCAATGATGGCTGGACTTCTGTTATGTATTTTATTTTTGAGGAATACATAGCTTGTTTAACTGTGAATCAGTTGAAAATTTCACTGTT